ACTCCCAGATGCCACGCAACTGGTATGTACAAGACGCCTTAATCCACTTGACCATCACGACCGGACATAATGAGGTGATAGCCGAGGCTATTTGAACCACCCCACCGCCGGCACTCGGATAGTAATCTTGGGCATAGCATTTTACCAAATCACCTCATTCTTTGGGGCACACGTGAGGAACACAAATGCGAACAAGCCTGAATGGTCCCCAGGACAATATGCAACTGAAAACTCACACCCCAGAAGTGACTCGAACCCATACTCCCAGATGCCACGCAACTGGTATGTACAAGACGCCTTAATCCACTTGACCATCACGACCGGACATAATGAGGTGATAGCCGAGGCTATTTGAACCACCCCACCGCCGGCACTCGGATAGTAATCTTGGGCATAGCATTTTACCAAATCACCTCATTCTTTGGGGCACACGTGAGGAACACAAATGCGAACAAGCCTGAATGGTCCCCAGGACAATATGCAACTGAAAACTCACACCCCAGAAGTGACTCGAACCCATACTCCCAGATGCCACGCAACTGGTATGTACAAGACGCCTTAATCCACTTGACCATCACGACCGGACATAATGAGGTGATAGCCGAGGCTATTTGAACCACCCCACCGCCGGCACTCGGATAGTAATCTTGGGCATAGCATTTTACCAAATCACCTCATTCTTTGGGGCACACGTGAGGAACACAAATGCGAACAAGCCTGAATGGTCCCCAGGACAATATGCAACTGAAAACTCACACCCCAGAAGTGACTCGAACCCATACTCCCAGATGCCACGCAACTGGTATGTACAAGACGCCTTAATCCACTTGACCATCACGACCGGACATAATGAGGTGATAGCCGAGGCTATTTGAACCACCCCACCGCCGGCACTCGGATAGTAATCTTGGGCATAGCATTTTACCAAATCACCTCATTCTTTGGGGCACACGTGAGGAACACAAATGCGAACAAGCCTGAATGGTCCCCAGGACAATATGCAACTGAAAACTCACACCCCAGAAGTGACTCGAACCCATACTCCCAGATGCCACGCAACTGGTATGTACAAGACGCCTTAATCCACTTGACCATCACGACCGGACATAATGAGGTGATAGCCGAGGCTATTTGAACCACCCCACCGCCGGCACTCGGATAGTAATCTTGGGCATAGCATTTTACCAAATCACCTCATTCTTTGGGGCACACGTGAGGAACACAAATGCGAACAAGCCTGAATGGTCCCCAGGACAATATGCAACTGAAAACTCACACCCCAGAATGATTTGGTAAAATGCTATGCCCAAGATTACTATCCGAGTGCCGGCGGTGGGGTGGTTCAAATAGCCTCGGCTATCACCTCATTATGTCCGGTCGTGATGGTCAAGTGGATTAAGGCGTCTTGTACATACCAGTTGCGTGGCATCTGGGAGTATGGGTTCGAGTCACTTCTGGGGTGTGAGTTTTCAGTTGCATATTGTCCTGGGGACCATTCAGGCTTGTTCGCATTTGTGTTCCTCACGTGTGCCCCAAAGAATGAGGTGATTTGGTAAAATGCTATGCCCAAGATTACTATCCGAGTGCCGGCGGTGGGGTGGTTCAAATAGCCTCGGCTATCACCTCATTATGTCCGGTCGTGATGGTCAAGTGGATTAAGGCGTCTTGTACATACCAGTTGCGTGGCATCTGGGAGTATGGGTTCGAGTCACTTCTGGGGTGTGAGTTTTCAGTTGCATATTGTCCTGGGGACCATTCAGGCTTGTTCGCATTTGTGTTCCTCACGTGTGCCCCAAAGAATGAGGTGATTTGGTAAAATGCTATGCCCAAGATTACTATCCGAGTGCCGGCGGTGGGGTGGTTCAAATAGCCTCGGCTATCACCTCATTATGTCCGGTCGTGATGGTCAAGTGGATTAAGGCGTCTTGTACATACCAGTTGCGTGGCATCTGGGAGTATGGGTTCGAGTCACTTCTGGGGTGTGAGTTTTCAGTTGCATATTGTCCTGGGGACCATTCAGGCTTGTTCGCATTTGTGTTCCTCACGTGTGCCCCAAAGAATGAGGTGATTTGGTAAAATGCTATGCCCAAGATTACTATCCGAGTGCCGGCGGTGGGGTGGTTCAAATAGCCTCGGCTATCACCTCATTATGTCCGGTCGTGATGGTCAAGTGGATTAAGGCGTCTTGTACATACCAGTTGCGTGGCATCTGGGAGTATGGGTTCGAGTCACTTCTGGGGTGTGAGTTTTCAGTTGCATATTGTCCTGGGGACCATTCAGGCTTGTTCGCATTTGTGTTCCTCACGTGTGCCCCAAAGAATGAGGTGATTTGGTAAAATGCTATGCCCAAGATTACTATCCGAGTGCCGGCGGTGGGGTGGTTCAAATAGCCTCGGCTATCACCTCATTATGTCCGGTCGTGATGGTCAAGTGGATTAAGGCGTCTTGTACATACCAGTTGCGTGGCATCTGGGAGTATGGGTTCGAGTCACTTCTGGGGTGTGAGTTTTCAGTTGCATATTGTCCTGGGGACCATTCAGGCTTGTTCGCATTTGTGTTCCTCACGTGTGCCCCAAAGAATGAGGTGATTTGGTAAAATGCTATGCCCAAGATTACTATCCGAGTGCCGGCGGTGGGGTGGTTCAAATAGCCTCGGCTATCACCTCATTATGTCCGGTCGTGATGGTCAAGTGGATTAAGGCGTCTTGTACATACCAGTTGCGTGGCATCTGGGAGTATGGGTTCGAGTCACTTCTGGGGTGTGAGTTTTCAGTTGCATATTGTCCTGGGGACCATTCAGGCTTGTTCGCATTTGTGTTCCTCACGTGTGCCCCAAAGAATGAGGTGATTTGGTAAAATGCTATGCCCAAGATTACTATCCGAGTGCCGGCGGTGGGGTGGTTCAAATAGCCTCGGCTATCACCTCATTATGTCCGGTCGTGATGGTCAAGTGGATTAAGGCGTCTTGTACATACCAGTTGCGTGGCATCTGGGAGTATGGGTTCGAGTCACTTCTGGGGTGTGAGTTTTCAGTTGCATATTGTCCTGGGGACCATTCAGGCTTGTTCGCATTTGTGTTCCTCACGTGTGCCCCAAAGAATGAGGTGATTTGGTAAAATGCTATGCCCAAGATTACTATCCGAGTGCCGGCGGTGGGGTGGTTCAAATAGCCTCGGCTATCACCTCATTATGTCCGGTCGTGATGGTCAAGTGGATTAAGGCGTCTTGTACATACCAGTTGCGTGGCATCTGGGAGTATGGGTTCGAGTCACTTCTGGGGTGTGAGTTTTCAGTTGCATATTGTCCTGGGGACCATTCAGGCTTGTTCGCATTTGTGTTCCTCACGTGTGCCCCAAAGAATGAGGTGATTTGGTAAAATGCTATGCCCAAGATTACTATCCGAGTGCCGGCGGTGGGGTGGTTCAAATAGCCTCGGCTATCACCTCATTATGTCCGGTCGTGATGGTCAAGTGGATTAAGGCGTCTTGTACATACCAGTTGCGTGGCATCTGGGAGTATGGGTTCGAGTCACTTCTGGGGTGTGAGTTTTCAGTTGCATATTGTCCTGGGGACCATTCAGGCTTGTTCGCATTTGTGTTCCTCACGTGTGCCCCAAAGAATGAGGTGATTTGGTAAAATGCTATGCCCAAGATTACTATCCGAGTGCCGGCGGTGGGGTGGTTCAAATAGCCTCGGCTATCACCTCATTATGTCCGGTCGTGATGGTCAAGTGGATTAAGGCGTCTTGTACATACCAGTTGCGTGGCATCTGGGAGTATGGGTTCGAGTCACTTCTGGGGTGTGAGTTTTCAGTTGCATATTGTCCTGGGGACCATTCAGGCTTGTTCGCATTTGTGTTCCTCACGTGTGCCCCAAAGAATGAGGTGATTTGGTAAAATGCTATGCCCAAGATTACTATCCGAGTGCCGGCGGTGGGGTGGTTCAAATAGCCTCGGCTATCACCTCATTATGTCCGGTCGTGATGGTCAAGTGGATTAAGGCGTCTTGTACATACCAGTTGCGTGGCATCTGGGAGTATGGGTTCGAGTCACTTCTGGGGTGTGAGTTTTCAGTTATATATATATATATATATATATATATATATATATATATATATATATATATATATATATATATATATATATATATATATATATATTTAAATGAAAGAATAAACAAATAAAAAATTGCTGAAATTATTATCTATGGAAATTCAATCCGGGAATTGTAAGGCAAAACAATTAAAAAATAAGGAAAACAGAAGAACAATTTAAAGGATAGGACTATAAAAGACCTTAAGACCCCCAGCAAACTACTTACGGAAGACAAACTAGCGAGCAAACAAGGAAGTGAAGGACCCTCATTTGTTCAACTTGGGTCGCAGTCTGGTAATGCGAATCGATTCTAAAATATTATGTTTCGTTGTTATAGCCCAGTGGAAACAATATCGAAGAGTGTCCTTGGTTCCATGTTGACTCGGCGTTAATTCAACATTGAATTGGCATTGATCTTTGATATAGTGCCCACTGGGTAGAAAAGTAAATCGGTACAGTAACATCGCTATGAGTGAAAGGATAAGCGGAGAGACGTTGATTATAGTACGGCAGATAAAAAATGTCGCTTGATCGTGAGTACTTTTGAACATATTTGAAATAATATGCAGTTTCTTTTAACAAACATGTTTTATTTCATCTATTTCTGATACGCCTATAATTACTAATGTTTTAAAATAAAGAGCAACAAATCTCAAATATACACTTTCATGTCTGTATCTAAGAACCAACTTTCAGGTACAAGGAATCAGCCATGTGAGGAGATACAGAATGACTATTGTGTCCTTATGTACTGTTTCCTGGGATGAAGTTGTTACATATAGCTGGTTATTGCTCCCAACTATAGTCAAGACCTTGTCACCACTACCCTTCTCTTCCCATTCTATAACCAACCTCTGCTCACGACTACTATCCTTCAATAACAGAAGCACCTCTCACCCTCAACAGAGTCCTGTGGCCCCACAGTACATCTTCTGGTACCACAACTCGCGCATGATCAACTACGACAGGGAGAGAGGCGGAGTAAACGTCCACATCGACACTGGGCCCAGGGTTCGATCCCAGCTCAGCGTCAGCAACGCCAGGTCGTCTGACTCTGGGAATTACACCTGCGCCGCCGCCAATACCGAGTCAGCCTCTATCACTGTGTATATTACAGAAGGTAGGTGGGCATTTCCTCAGTAACTACGCCAATCTGGCTCTTGCTACATCCATATTCCTCTCTACCTGCTCGCTATTGTTGCTTGCTCTCCCTACAACTTCCTCTGCTAATTATGGTTACTTGTTTACCTGCTTGATTATCATCTGATCTGGTTGTTTGTTGTGTCTGATATTCACCGGTTTCTCTACTAGTTTTGTTGTCACATTTCACCTTTGACTCTGGTTTTCCCGTCTATATCCCTGCTTGGACCTCTTCCTGAATCGCTTGTCTCCTTATTCTTCTACTCACCAGATTTCTTACCAGATTATATACTCTATTATCTGTCTGTTATTATATGTTCCAGATTCATATTGTATTTCAACAATACTAGTTGACTCATTATTGAATAATACATTTGGTTCAGGAGAAAGATATCTGTTTTAGTCTCGATATTTTCCCGGAGTTGAGAAATTAAAATTTAAGATCTCTCCTTCTTTTTATCCCAATGGAGCAGATAACAAGATCGCAGCCATCCACACCCAAGCGGTGGACGGTGCCGTGTCCCTCCGTGGCTCCTTGGCACTGCTAGGGGGCCTCCTTGTCTTCACCCAGCTCCACGCCTGCGACTGTGTGTTCCTGCGTGGTTCCGTGGCTCTGCTAGAGATCGTCGTCATCCTCACACATCTCGCCTTCCAATGAGCCCTTCCCTGGCTGTCATCCTGAGAGCTTCACCTTCGCCTGTCACCCACCGCTGCCTTCAAGGGCCGAACTAAGGTCAGCTGACCCCATCGCTAGAAGTCACCCCCCTCTAAGGTCCGAATTAAGGTCAACTGAGCCACATCGCAAGAAATCGTGGCTTAAGTTACGAGACGAACTATCAGCTGACCTTCATCCCTAAGAAATAGCGGGTGGATGGTCCGAACCAGGTTTACCTGAACCCATTCGTTCGATGTCGCAGCTTTCTGACAAGATATACAATTTTGTCGTCATGACTCGAGTTTGGACTTCAATCGTTGTGAAAACGAGACCTCAGTCTTCACCAAAGAGGCAATTACACTTTGACACCTCAAAATAATTTTACATTTAGGGAGTATTTAACGCGACGATCCCAGCTGAACGAGTAATTCAAAGCCTCGATCACCAATGATTGGGTAATTAAAAGCCTTAAATAATTATTGCTGAGGTAATCATGAGCCTCTGTTGCTAATGATGGGGGATAATAAGACTCTCGATCTTCTTTGATGGTATACCTTAAAGCCTAAATTGTCATTGATTGGACAATTTGCCATCCTCGTACCAATTTTGACCTACACAATTAAATTTACACGTTTCATAATAAAGTGGTCAAAGGCTAAACAAAATTTCGACATGAAGCTAAATTACGTAAAACTGAAGACACGATTAATTTCTTGAGTTAACGTTGCAACGATTACACACTATTTTACCACAAATCATATACGTCAGAATGTTTATCCGAATAAAACAACCAGCCTCTTAGGACTACAAGTCATAGAGACACACACACTGCAAATTACGCTCGAGATGAACATTCACACCCGAGTAGTCTACATCCCACAGTGAATCACAGAGACGAACGCCTCGACAAAATACAACGCTCTACACTATCAAACTTGGACCACGGAAGCCAAAAAATAAGCACAGTATCTGAGACAACAAATTTCCAGGAAGGAAAAATAAAACAGGAACCATAAAAAAACGACAGTTACAAAACATTTTCCTCGCCCAAAATAGGGTGACGGAGGGTGACAAAAACTTTCTCAGCTTTCTCAGTTTGTTGATATACCGGACTGAAAATGTGAATGATCAATATAGCATGTGAAGCTTACGTGTGCAGCTTGTGGTTCAAGGTCCTTGAAATCCAGCTTGAAAAACAGATCGATCCTTAATATATTATGTCGAGTGATTTAGGCCGTAAACCACAAAACGTTTGTTAAACGTCAAAAAGTGACAAGACGGTCGAGGAAAACGAACTCAGAGTGAGTGGAAAGAGAGTGACAAGTAGAAGGAACTACAGACTAATGGACCGAGGTGAGTGATCTAATCTTACTTCAGTGATAAAAATGACAAAAATCATGAGTAATAACTAGAAAAAAAGAGTGTGAACAGACTGGTTGTAATAAGTAAACAAATGCATCTTTTTAATAAAGGAACCATATACATGCATGTGATTGCTTATAAACAATGGTGCAGAGGACAAAAACGTCTCACTTAACCTGAGACTTTTACCTGCTCTCTACACTGATACAAAAATAACCAGATATGTATGTACTCAGAAAATATGAACAATAGTATTCAACAGTGAAGATGGTGAGGCAAATAGTGGAGTAGTGAGAGGAGAGGGGGGGGGAAGAGGGGCCGAAGAGTCTCGCGTACTGCCTCACAGGCCCAGAACACCTCTCTTGTGAGAGGTGTTGGGAACATCTGTCTTGTGAGAGGTGTGGAAACACCTGTCTTCTTCCTGTATTCTCCGTCTTGGCGTGTGAGTCTTTCTCCAGAGTTGACCGGCCATGGTGAACTGCAAGTGGTGCGGTGCACTGATGTAGCTACAAAAGTTCATTCTTGTGAGATATTTGAGTGTTCTTGAGTGCGCGGTGAGTGCGTGAATGTATGTTGTGTATCCTTGGGTGCGTGAGCGTGGCGAAATTTTATGTGTCATTGAGTGCGTGATCTGATTGATTATGGTGTGTCCTCGAGTACTCGTGCGTATTCGATTATAGTGTTTCCTGGAAAGGAAGGGAATTTTCAGAGGAAAGCGCCAAGCCATTACGACTATATAGCACTGGGAAGATGTCAGGATAAGGATTTGGGATGGGATGGGGGGGAAGGAATGGTGCCCAACCACTTGGACGGTCGGGGATTGAACGTTGACCTGCATGAAGCGAGACCGTCGCTGTACCGTCCAGCCCAAATGGTTGTTCCCTGGTGTGTGCGTGCATACGTGCGGGATTATAGTATGTTTTAGAACGCATGGGCAAATATAACATTTGCGTGTGGGTCCAAAGCTCTCCGTTTGTAGCTGAACATAATTATTTTTTTTTGGTTACCAAATACTGAAGACAGTCCTGAATAAATGAAGAAAAGCGACTGAGAAAAAAATGAGAAAAGTGTACAAGATAATCATCCAAAAAACACGTGAGTTTCAGGGGCCAACGAGCCATGAAAAATAACGGAGAATGATCAAAAGAACTTAGACAATTATGAACGATTATTGACATCCTAAACATGAAAGTGAAAATGACAGCGAAGTGTCTTGACTTAGAGAAAGATTTGAGAAAAACGGTAGGAATAGAACGAATTTTCTATAGAAATTAAAATAATTATTAGTAATCCCCTGGAAATACAGGCAAGACAATGAATAGTCGAGATGTAGGGAATAGACAAGACAGAGAATAGTGACGACTTAATAGGGAACACAATGAATAGTCAAAATTTAGGGAATAGGCAAGGAGTGAATAGTCAATATCTGGCAAATTGGCAAGACAGAGAAGAGTCAAGTCCTGGGGAATAGGCAAAAGGTGATATAACCAAGACGTGGTGGATAGGCATGAAGTATAGGTCAAACTTGCTGTAACTGGCATAATTAATTGGCAGGCAAATGAGAATAGGCCAAACATGCTTGGCAAGACATGGCTATAGTCATTAATGATAAATAGGCATAATTTGTTGAATAACCAACTAAAAGGAAATAGGTATGTGATGAATAGGTAAAAAAATATATTCACACAATGAAAAGTAAATGTAAAAATGCTCGTAACAGCAACAAGTCATCATGCGTATTTATTGTAATACTGTGACGTACAAGTAATACTGTGACGTACCGGTAATATTTTGACGTACCGGTAATATTTTGACGAACCGGTAATACTTTACACACGTAGTATTGTGACATACCGGTAAATTTGTGACGTAGTTATATTCTGACGTACTGGTAAACCGCCGACTCTCCCCAGTGACGTGGAATTGGACGACATGAACTCGTGATAATAGACAGTGAATAGACGGCGCGTCACACGCGTCACGTTGCCGGTGGAATCCCATGACAAATTGAAACTAATAACAGAACAGCAACCTGGAAATAGAAAGCATTTGTACAACCGAAATAGACAAATACAATCCATCACGCAGGGTTTTATTTCTAGTAGGTTATAAAGCCACCGAATTAGTACATATATTCGTTTTGTTTTAAGTTCTATGTTCGGAATAACGCAATGTAGGGAGAACCCAAAATTCTGCAGGACATCGAAAAATCTAAGAGTTATTCTTGTTTATTGTGTGAATATGTCTGCGTGGCATCTTTGTATCAAGATAGTAGGCTGGTAGACTTTAGTTCTATCATTCTCTGAAGTGTTGATGAAGTCTATTAACCAAGCAGCAAGTATACTGTATCCTGAATAGAGATCAGGATTACAGTGACCTCTCGGTGCATGTATATATATATATATATATATATATATATATATATATATATATATATATATATATATATATATATATATATATATATATATAGAGTGGGATTTATCTTTCGGTACATATTGGTACCCACTCTATGTACATTCGGTACATAGAATGGGGTTTAACTCTCGGTGTATATATGCCAAGAGGCCTTCGAGTAGTCAGGTGCAGAAATGATTTACAGAGGCTGCCCCTGACAGCGGTTGATTGTTCAATAAATTACTGAACTATACGTTTAACAGGTCTCTAACCCTATCCATGGGGGACAGAAGAAAATGTATACAAGCTAGTTAGCATTGTAAATGTATGGCCACGTCTGTGGTAGAAAAAAAAATGGACGGCAGCATTGACGAAGAGGGTTGACAGTGGTCAGCCCCAGTACTGATAGAGGGGCTTGACAGTAGCTAATGTTGATATATTGAACACAGGAGAGACAACACTGGCACCCGCAAGCGCTAATTGAACAGGGGTAAAAGGATTAATGAATAAAGGGGGATGAAGAGTAGAGGAAAATAATGAGAAAGGAAATAGGGCAGAGGAGCAAAATAACGAGAACGAAACAGTAGGGGAGAATAATGAGAAAATTTAGCATTTCACGATAATAATTAGATCAAAGACCTCTATAGGAAATTAATATAGGTCACTAATAACAGAAAATCCCATAACAACAAAGCGTGTGACAAAGAATATACAAGAATACATATACAAAGAGAAACATGAAACTATACACGATCACAAGAAATGTCACAAACAGAATAACATTTTGTTACGTTTAAAGTTCCAGTGAACCATACACAAATTGTGAAGTAACAAATGTATTCGTTATACATTATTATTAATCAAGAGCAGCGATGGATAATTACCATAAATGATGTATAACATGAGTGATAACTCACGCTGCTGATGGATAACTAAGAACGCTTATGGTTACTAAAAACGCTTATGGTAACTTACAACGCTTATGGTTACTAACAACGCTTGCGGTTACTAACAACGCTTGTGGTTACTAACAACGCTTGTGGTTACTAACAACGCTTATGGTAACTAACAATTATGAAGGATAACTTCCAGTGCTGATAGATTATTTGCAAGTTCAGATTGATATTTACCAGCAATGATAGAGAGCACCGTTGATTTATAGTTAAAACATAGTTGAATACCTAAAACGTTGATAGCTAACAACATCATTAGCATTACTAGATAATCAACAGCGTTGATAGATAACTAACAGTAGTGATAGATAATTAGCAGCGTTGATGGATAATTAATTTGGTAATTTATGTAAAATTTAAAAAAACAAATTAAAATTAAACAAATTTAAAAACCTTCACACATGATAAAGAGTTATACTAGAAAATCATGGAATAATTCAGAAGAATTATTTTTAATAAGTTATTGAAACGAGTAACGAAAATTGCAATAGCGGGTAGGAGCAATACTTGAGAAAGCCGAATATACGAGAGGTAAACAAAATGCCGAATAAAAAAGGTGAATAAGAGAATTGTGAACACCTAAAAAAAGGTTGGTGGAAAGAAATGGGAAACAGAGATAGGAGTTGAGACTAAAGTGTATTGAATGTCCCAGGTTTCACTAGAAACAAAATGACCATTGAGAATGTATACACGACTGACAGGATGGAAAAAGAATAGTTATGATTGTCAATGGCTAGAGAAATAGAAAGTATAATAAATATAGTATAATTATAGTATAAGAAAGTATAATTCTATTTCTAGAGAAATAGAAAGTATAACAAAATATAATAAATAGAAAGTGGCAGAAGACGAAAAGTAATATCCAGCCACGAGATCCGGTTACAATTACGTCCGGTTAATCCGTAGTCCGGTTAGGGAGAGGTCCGGTTACTGCGATGTTCGGCCACCGAATGTTTCGGCCACTACAGGATCTGTCTACATCATTGCTATATCCACAATGTTTTTTATTGCTGTCAGAGGGACTGAACAAACTAGAACGAGGTCATTGTATATTTACTGTCCATTCTCGTTTTACGACTGTCTGTATAAATGATTTGGGTGTGTACTCACCTATTTGTACCTGCAAGATCAAGCTCTAGCTCTTGGAATCCGCTTTTCCAGCCGATAGTTGTCTAATGCAACAACGTCTGGACTATTTCCCAATCATACCTGCTGTTAAATATATAAAATGAGTTTGCCTCTACAACCTGCTGCTTCATTTTGTTTTTTAAATTTATATTTGAATAAATCACTTAAGGTTTTTGACAGAAACATCGCATCATCACCTTTAGTTTGTATATAGCAAAAACAAATTGGCATATACGAGCGGTGGCTAGACAATGCCACCTCTCGTATATTAAACTAGATATACGTTTCTAGTTTAATTCTTAAACTAGATACACGTTATGTGTATCTAGTTTGTATACGTTAAATGTCTCAATTTTCTGTATTTCTCGTGGTTCACTTTACGCATTTACTAGTTTTTATTAAAGATTAAGTTACTGAGTGAGTACTTAACTAAATGAGTATTTGGCTAGTACTTGAGAACAACTTGAATTATTACTTATGTATCAGATTGAGCACTTAAGGGACTGAATAGGAACTTACTCATCCACCAATAGCGCTGAGTCTTGGTTGACTTACTGACAGCTAGAGAGATGATTGGCAGTAACGTGACCCAAAGGTAGAAAACATGAGAATTATTTAATGAGTGTCTGGCTGTTTTGTAATAATGCAGAAGCAATAAATCTCATAACTCGTATGAATGGGAATATGCACAGTATGTCCTATATAAAAGTAAGATGTGCGTGACCCATTTCTAAACAACTGGCATTATGGTAAAAATTTAATAGAGCAATAAAAATTATGTTAAGTGGCATGAATGGAAGTATGAAGCGTGTTTGTTTGCTTTGCGGACACGATGTATTTGATTCGTAATTGATGATTGGTGCAATAGTTCTGTGTTTCGTTATTGATGAGGACTGAAGTAATAATATACTTGAATTGTTTTTTATGAAGACTGGTGGGAAATTATGTTGACATTATCTGTCATTAACGCAACTGATACACACACACACATTATATATATATATATATATATATATATATATATATATATATATATGTGTGTGTGTGTGTGTGTGTGTGTGTGTGTGTGTGTGTGTGTGTGTGTGTGTGTGTGTGTGTGTGTGTGTGTGTGTGTGTGTGTGAGAAAGCTGCATGAACGCGCAAGCCATAGATCACTAAGAACTCTTTGACCCGGCCAGGATTTGAACCCATACGGTCCAGGATCACCCCTAAACGTACACAGTACCGTGACCACCGCACCAATGATCGTCTATAAGGATTGGTCAGTCCTGGTGCCTATTAACTAAGCTCCCTGACTGATCAACCCCCGACGACACTCATGGATCCATTTGGGTACAATTTTTTATCAAATTCTGGCGCATGCACGGACCCCACTGAGTTTAACATGTGTGAGAAAGCTGCATCACTGAGAAGACTGACCAATCCTTATAGACGATCATTGGTGCGGTAGTCACGGACGGTACTGTGTACGTTTAGGGGTGATCCTGGACGGCATGGGTTCGAATCCTGGCCGGGTCAAAGAGTTCTTAGTGATATATATATATATATATATATATATATATATATATATATATATATATATATATATATATATATATATATATAAACTAATCAATGCTCTCAAGCCCTGCTACTATACTCTTTAGGTTTAATTCTGTTAGGTTAGAAAGGAACCTATTAACTATATTTTTTTGTCACACTGGTTCTGGCTCATTGTAAATGAAAGATTTTCCACCTAACTGTATATCTTGGTAATTATTATCAGGAGAAATCCTTCAGAAGAGCAGCATTATATAGACAAAATGTGGTATAACATGTCAATGTTTCTTGTAAATGGGAAAAGTATATATACTTATGTTTTTGCCTTATTATTCTCACCTCTCCAGAGTTACAATAAAGAGTGATTCGATGTTTACTTTTGTTCGATGATAAAATTCTTGATAATAGACGCTTTAATTGTTAAAGGAAAGATAATGAAAGGTAATGAGCATCCAACAGGTCATTCTACACTTCATTCCAAAAACACCGATTGTGTTCATGCCCGAGAACCTTAAAACTGAGTTAGGTCTACATTGGAGCTTATTTACCTGAATGCTGAACATGTGTGTGTGTGTGTGTGTGTGTGTGTGTGTGTGTGTGTGTGTGTGTGTGTGTGTGTGTGTGTGTGTGTGTGTGATTGTGTGTGTACTCACCTAGTTCTACTTGAGGGGGTTGAGGTTCGGCCCTTTATCTCAGACCAAAGCGCGCTCGCACGCGCGTGTGTGTCTCTGAATGTGTATACAGTGTGTGTGTGGTTGAGTGTTCTCTGTCACAAACAGGATGAGAGGGTATGCACACATTAAGAAACAAACACGAGAGAGAAATACTTTTGGAGTATATTACTTCGTCCGGTGTGATCAGTTCGCATAGCCATTGTGTTACATTTGTACACTATAAGGCACGTATAGGAGCCAGGTGTACCGAGGCGAGTTGCACGATACTTAGCGTGCAGATCTGATACTGAATCAACCCAAATAATGGCAGGCGGAAATCTCCACAATACTGACAGGGTCCCACTGGTGGCGTCGTCAGGACATTAACCTGACGCAGCTGTCTCTTTCTTACTGTTACATAGCACGACGATTCTTATGCAGTAGGATTTTTTAAGATTTTAGGTTATCCTTGTATCCTTATATGGGTATAAACCAAGGCTTATGGAAGGATAATGAATAATTACATCCTCCATGAGTCTACACGGGGTTCAAATGTCCTTCGCCTAGAGTCAGACCTTCTAGGAGGGAGTACTTGAAATATAATAACAAAAACATTAACTTTCATGCTGAGAACTTTGCTGTTTTCTAGTTAATGAATTGTGATACATAATCTTTTTTTGTGAATTATTGGTAGAAATTGTTCCACAAAATTCCTGCAGTGAATGTTACAATGTTTTGCACATAAAGTGATAGTGGAAT